GTACATTTGGAAGGTTCAAACTATAATTAGGATTATCAAACAATTTCCAAACATGACATGCTTATAGTCAAATCGAGTGGTTCGATGAGACGAATCCAACAAGCCCAATATCATCAAATTCTGATATTATTAGGGCCTTCAAATGCCCAATAAACGGTCCATGATAAAGGGATTCAACATCCGGCTATCCATTCAAATCACTCCCAATTTACCCCTGATCTTTCTCCTATTTACTGGCTAAGCTACTATCATAAAACTATAAATAGACCCCTCATTTCTCTTGAGAGGAGGAGCCCACCAAGAAGAGAAGGAAGAAGAGGAAGAGACTCCTCCTCGACCATCGCCGGACTTTCACCCGGTAGCCGACCTACGCCGTAATTAAGCAAGGAAGCAAAAAGATAAGGAAGAGAAGGAATAGGTTCCTTCTCGACCACCGCCAGACTTCCACCCGACTGCAAGCTGATGCCGGAATTCTCTCTGACATCCGACTGACGACGGAGTTCTGTCCGACCGTCAATTGAAGCCGGATTTCCGCCCGACCACCAAAACGTCGCCAGATTTTCGATCTCCGTTTGTAACTGAATTTTTAACCCAGGAGTTGATTATTGGAATCTGATCGTCCTCAATTTTAGAGTTGAGTCAACCACTTGTAATCTAAGTAAACACTAGTGGAATCCTTTCAACTAAGCGTGGCCCCATAGTTTTTTCTCTTTTCCTGGGTTTCCACATAAAAATTCAGGTGTTACATTTTCTCTCTATTTGTGTGTTGGATATCCGTGCAACGCTGAGACAAAAATTTTCTAACTCTATTGCCACATATATTCTAGCCCGCTACAAAACAAATAGGAGTATGGATAAATTCAAAGCACAAATGATGCACTCAATCATATGGAATTGACTATAAAAAAATGTTCTCTCATGTTCCTAAAGTAAACACAATTCGAGTTTTGCTATCTCTTGTAAAAAATTTAGATGGCCTTTGCATTAACTTGATATTAAAAATACATTTCTTAGTTGGGGCCTTGAGGAGATCCTACATGGCTTGAAAAATTAGAGAAATAACAATAAGGTATTTAGATTCAAAAAAGCTCTATATGACCTCAAACAATCTCGTCATGCTTGGTTTGACAACTTCTCTAAATATGTTAAAAAAATAGTTACACTATCAATTTGATCACCCTCTTTAAAAAACACACATCAAAAGAAAGCAAAATACAATTTTGATCATGTAACTGGATGATATTATATTAAAAGGATTTTTGGCAACATAATTTGTGATAAAAGACCAGCAAAATAAAAAATACTTTCTTAGTGTAAAAGTAGCATAACCAAAACAAAGTATTGTTATTTTTCAAATGAAGTGTATTTTATAAGTACATCAAGAAATTAAAATGCTTAGATATAAGCCGGAAAAATTCCAATGGGCCCCGCAAAAAAATTGCGATCAACACTAACAACACATCCTTGATAAACATATGTATCGACGCCTTGTGGGCAAACTCATCTACTTCTCTTTTACCCATCATGATAATGGGTTTTATGTTAATGTTGTTAGTCAAAAGTGAACAACCATACTTCAAACCACATGAAAGTTGTAAACGATATCCTACATTACCTTAAAATAACACCAAAAAATGCATGTTATATGAAAAGCCACCCAATAAGGAAATCAAAATTTTCACAAATGTTGATTGGATTGGAGAAGCATTAGACCAAATATTTACCTGATTGAACTTAAGTATGGAAAAATCTAATTAAATGACGTAGGAAAAAATATGTGATCTCAAGAAGTAGTGCTAAAGCTGAACATAAGGCAGTGACATTGATATTTGTAAAGGAGTACTCTTAAAATGATTGTTAGGAGAATTATCGAGTGAAAAAAAAAAATCCTCGAAGTATATTGTGACAACCAGACAGACATAAATATTGCTAAAAATCTTATCCACTATGCATGACGAAACAAATTGAGATAGACCGACATTTCATGGTAGAAAAAACTGAAGATGGACTAACCCCACTAAATGATGTTACAAAAAATCTTTTATAATGTAGATATCCATACTAGGACTTTACCAAAAAAGAGCTCTGATATACTAATCCAGTAGATAGGCATAATTAACTAAATTATGTTCTAATAAAAGCTCAAATTATAGATATTCTCTCGAAGACTTTCCTCATAGTAAGTTTAGAGAAATAAATAAAAAATAAGCATGATCAACATATATATCCTCACTAAGTTTTTTCCTAGAATGAGCTTCGATAAACTAACCAAGAGCACGGTTCACAATTGCGTAATTGCGTAATGGGTTTTATGTTAATGTTGTTAGTCAAAAGTGAACAACCATACTTCAAACCACATGAAAGTTGTAAACGATATCCTACATTACCTTAAAATAACACCAAAAAATGCATGTTATATGAAAAGCCACCCAATAAGGAAATCAAAATTTTCACAAATGTTGATTGGATTGGAGAAGCATTAGACCAAATATTTACCTGATTGAACTTAAGTATGGAAAAATCTAATTAAATGACGTAGGAAAAAATATGTGATCCCCCCCCCCCCCCAACAAAAAAAAAAAGAGGTTTTACTTCAATAGGTTGGTACTCATCTGCCGATCTTTACCTGACATTTTTGTTGGAGGATTGGAGCTCCATTTTCAAGTGATTTCTGTTCGGATTCTTCTCGTTATCTTCAACAGAAATTTTGGTACATAGCATCTCACTAAATCTCCAAATTTAGCCTCCAAAAATGTTATCCTTTAGTAGGTTTAAAAATTTAAGTTCATCACAAAAAATTGTTCTTAATGTTTTTAATCATTCATATGCTTATGCTTTAAGCTGCATCACGATGCATAGATTGATAAAATAAATGTTTTTATTAAATAAGTTTTTCATTAGTTATTTTGTTAATGTCTATATTATTTAGTTGATGAACTGTCTACTCTAATTCAAGCTTCTTGAATTATGTTTTGATCGGCTTAAGCTCAAACTAATATGAAGTCTAAACTTCAAGAGAGTAATAAGCTTCTTTTTATGAAACCTTCAGTTATGAAATCTATAGGGGTATCAAAGTATTTTATATTTTTTAAAAAATTTGAAACTGCCAATGCCGATCTCAAGACTACATGAAAAAAATTGAGGTGAATTTTTTAAAGAAATAAATAAGGCCCCCCATGAAAAGTTTTTGGCTCCGCCACTGACAATCAGGTATTAAGGCATTTTTTGTTCATGAGACGAGGCATAAGCCTCGAGGGGTATTGAAGCGTAAGCCTCAAAATAAATAAATTGCGTTCGTCAAAATAAAGGTTAAAAGTGATGTTTAATATAATAACCAAATAATATGTTATGAGGTTAACATTAACTTTCTATTGAACTATGAAGTAACAAATTGGCATACATATGAATACAAATTGCACAATACATAAAGTGACAAATGATAAATTACATGAAATAGAATTAAAATCTAAATATTACAAGAGCAAAACAATATTAAATACATGAATTGCATAAAAGTATTATATAAAATCAAGTTTAACTCTAAATTCATTCTTTTTCAGTTCCATACTCATCCACATAATTCATAAAGGCAGCTTAAATAGTTGGCAAAAACTTAAAAAAATATTTGTACTACGATCACTAAGGAGATCTTTATTTGAGTCATCGTCATAACAAATCTCTCTCCTGCCTCATCCTATGAAGTCCAATGACTCCCAATCTGCTTCTTCTTTATTTATTTCATTCATCTTCCTCTTTTATAAATATCTTTTATTAACATAAAGATAATATAATACTAAAAATATTTTAGAGGTGGTGTTGGTATCCAACTTTCAAGTGATTCCTTACGACGGCTACCACGGTGGTGGCTCTGACGAAAATGGAGAGATGGAGATCGAGGTAGTTGAGCTGAAGTTATTGTGGCTCTGCATGAATGCGTGATTTGTTTAGGGCTTTAATTTAGGATTTAGATAAATTTTAATAAAAAAATATAAATAGGCTGAGGCATAAGCCTCATGGAAGGGAGGCGAGGCACGCATCAACCAAGCTGAGGTGAAAGCCTTAGAAAAAAAGTATGAGACATAAGCCTCGAGGCATTTTTCACTGGAGTTGCGCTGAGACAAGCCTTAAGATGAGCCTTATATTGCGCAATTTTAAACAAAGATCAAGAGGATAGCATAAGAATCTAAATTATATTTTAATAAATTCTCAAAATATAGTTATTCTCACAAAAGCTTTACCCATAATGAGGTTAGATAAATTAATCAAATATATATAACTTAGGAAGGGGGGTGTCAAAATAACAAAAAAAATAATGGAAAAAAACTTTCTATCTATAATTATCCAACAATTTGTAGACAGTAGCTTTCTATCTACAATAATTCAACAATCCATGGACATTTGCATTCCATTTATATTGTGTGGTTAATAATGGATTCTTGACTTAAAAGTCTTGTTTTCAAATTTGTTCTTTTCCTCGATAGTTATTTTTTTATCAATTCATGTAAGCTTCTCATATTATTTTTCACACACGATAAGAGAATACAATTCAATAAAATTTCTCATTTTCTACTCCGCTCTCCTAGCATTTTAATTTTCAAGAAAAAGCAAAAGACAAAATAAGTTTTTTTTTTTTAAATCTTACAAATAATCGACAAGTATTGTAACAAAAAAAAATCAATAAAATGAAAGCTTTATAAATAAATATCAATGAGTACAATAGCGAACCCAATAGCAAGTTATATAACTTTACTAAGAAGGAAACAAAGTAACAATCTATTTTCCTACTTGCTTTGCATATTGTCTTTGACTTGATGGGTTTTCTTGAAAAAGAGAAATTAGATAAAGAATAATTGTTCCATAATCTATACAACTTTGAACTAGTAATTTAAATACTAAGTGAAAATATAACAATTAATTAACCAAAGTATAGAAGTATAATGTTAGATGAGAGATAATTAAAAAATATAAATCATGACATTAAAAATTTATATGAATTTTACCTTTACTGGAAATGTTCCCTGTGGAAGCTTGGTCGCCAAAAGCTCCCTAAGCCTCCTAACAGCTTTGACTTTGTTCGCCAAAACATCAAGCAAAGGAAGAAGCTCATCCGTCTGCAATGGGAAGTCTGGTGTCAACCACAAAACTGGCCGTAAACCCTTCTTGTACTCACTTTCAAGCTTATTAGACTCACTTGAGGCTCCACTCTTCTTCTTCTTAGAATTGGTCTTTTCTTTACCCTTTTTAATATCCCCCACCTCTTCCCATGATGACTCAGGTTTATGATTTCCATTCTCTTGAGGTAACCTTGAAAATCTTCTGGGATTCTTTGAGTCGTCAGCATCCTCACCTGGATTATTTTTGGAAGCCTTTTTAGTGTTCCAGCCAAACCAGCTTTTTCTCTCCTTTGAAGGGCCACTATGCTCAGTATTACCAAATTCAGAACTCCCGTTGACCTCATCATCATCAAACCCCTCTGAAGTACCCATTTGAAGAGCCGAATCTAGCTGTTTCCTTTCCTCAGCTGTTAATACATCATCCAACTCATCATTATTGGCTACTCTTTCATCATTGTCTGCTGAAAACAGTTCCTCATCAGTCATTGCACCAGGAACTCTTCTTGATTTAACACTCACCATTACATGAAGCATGTCATACACTTTTGCTTTCCAGTTGCCAACCATTTCCGTTCTCTCTTGTCTTCTCCAATTCAAGTGAGAGACAAGCTCTGCCTGTGTAACATCAATGCCGGGCCGGTACATATTAGTTTGGGACATTAAAGCAACCTCATGAGCTACCTCAGCCTCTGTAGGCCTGTTGCCAGCTCCCTCAAGAGCATTAGTTATCTCCTTCTCCTTATGAGCAAGTACAATCAATGAGCCCCGAGGTAATGAAGCATTAACTGGCTCCCCTGAAGCACCATCACCTAGAAAAAGGAAGGTCTGGTCTGAGCGTTGGATTCTGAAACCATCAAAGCCAGCAAGAGTCATGTCAGCCCTGAGGTTTGATCCCTGCTTCCATATCCGATAGGTATCAGATGGGGCAATCCGGCCAATGAAAGGAATCACAGAACTTTCAAAATGGAATGTGATCTCCATATAAAAATCACGGATCCGACCAATAGAGGAGATGACCCTGGGGAGGCGGCGGCACCACTTTGCCCAAGCCAACGGCTGGTAGTGCCTGGCAATGATCATTGCTATTGTGTCCTCACGGGTGCATACAGCTTCCTGGAGAGCAGACCAACCTTGGTCATTTTGAAGGGACCAGTCAGCACCAGCTGACATGAGAATTTCAGCTGAAATGGGATCACGAAGCCGGACTGCAAGGTGTAGAGGGGTTTCACGGTGAGGAACATCTCGACGGTCAATGATAGAAGAGACTGCATCAGCTGTGAGCTCAGCAGAAATGGATTCCTCCTCTGTATTAACTTCTCCTGCTTTTGGGAGGCGGGGAAGGGTGGAAACCAGCCGCCGTAGGACAACATGATCTCGACGAGCAACAGCAAGGTGGGCAGGACTGTGGGAATATTTAGAGAGGTCCTCCATCAGAACTTCTGAAAATTGGCAGTTATAACCTCGCTCTTACCTTACCTCTGGTCACCCTGCTTCCCTTCAACTCCTACTAATCTATTTCAACACAAGGCAGCTAAATCTGAAGCAAAAAACTAAAAAGAGGAGGGGAATAGACTTGATTCCAGCAAAACGCTTATACCACAAACAACTCCTCCTGCAGCTCTTCTAGGTTTTATGATGAGTACTCAAGCCCACAGTAATCCATCCGAATGCTTTGATTTGCAATTTTAGAGGAAAATGACGAGGGGAAGTCGAAAGTAAAAGCATACCTCCACATAATAAAAGAAAAAAAAATTGAAGACTCCTCTCAGCTACTCAAAACCGAAAGAGATCTGAAAAATCCACAAATCTTTCAGCAGCGCTCAATTAGAAGTACGAATACAGATACCCTAGCATCAGCCAAGGCCGATAGCTAAACGAAGATCATGGAAACCGCTGGATCTGTCAAAAAATTCGGATCCGATAAGCTTTGAGGAAAGAGAATCGTCGGTGAGTTTTCGCCTAACAGAACGACCTCAAAAAGAAAAAGACTGCAAAGATCTATAAACTCCATGGCTGTCGAAGCGACCTCTCAGAGATCGCCATGGAACTAAGATCCGCGTAGGAGCAGATAACAAAATAGGCACCCTGCTGTTTTTTTTTTTCCTTCGTTTCCACTTTCCGGCTTCCGAATCGAATTCGATATCTAAGGATTCTAAGCCGGCTATTAGCCACCAGTTTCCATGACCCATACACAAGTGGCCCAGTAGCATTCAATAGTAGTATGGTGTGCCTTTAACAATTTTGTAAATTACTTAAGTGCCACCCCATTGGAGCTCCCCGATAGTCTCCCGTTGTCTCCGCTTGTTTTGGTTTTCGCTGCGCTATATTTTGTTAGGCAGAGGGGCAAAGCGGGAGCTTTTTTCTTTTTTTTTTTTTCCTAGAATTTTTTGGACAGAGCCTATTCATTATTAAAAAATGATAATTACATTGCCTCATGAACAGTCAAAAGTGATAACAACTGATTACAACAATTACTTTAAGAGTGATGAGCTGCAACAAAAAAATTGTAATGCTCCCAAAAAATTAAACTAAAGGAAAAGACAACTACACAAAAGTTCATATCAAAATAAGTATTTCAACTCAGAATGTAACAAAATGATCCTCCAACAACATAAAAGGCTGAAAATAGCATCCATAGAAGCCTTGGATTTCCATTGGCCATCCATGATATAAGAGATCACGTTGCTAATGTATTACTCTGTTGTGTGAGGATCATCCAAATGCTACAGGAATACTAGAAGGGAGAAATACCATTCATAATTGTACAACTGCCAAAAGAATTTCAGGAAAAAGATTTCTCATTTGTGTTATATAAGCCAACAAATGAAATCACTTTTAACAATGAATACCTCATGCACAAACTAATGAACCAATCAAGGAGTAGATTTATGTCGCAATGCATTGGTAATATTTTGATATAAGGTATTTTGACATGAAATGTCATTCCTAAATTTATAGCATTCATTTTATGCCAAATGAAGTAAATTGTGCAGCAAACTAAAAAGAATAAACATATTCTTTTGCTTTCTATCCAAATCCTAAAACTTACCTCAATTCACTTTAAGAAGTAATCAACCATTACAAATGCAAACTTTCTTTGTCTACCTAGTGATGAAGATAAAAGCATCTTCAACTATCGAAAGGTGGACTTGCACTCTTCACTCCATGCAATGTGCTTTGCACTACTGAGGAGTTAGAGAAAGGGTAAGAACTGCTCACTCAACTTTGACATAAAATGGTTGAGACCCACAACTTACATTATAAGCCATATCTCCTTACTCAAGTTTGGCAATGGCATGTCCAGTAAGGTTTTGGTTCAATTTCATTCCTTCTTGGGTGAAGAGAAACCCTAGGAACTTGTCTAATCTTGCATCAAAGTACACTTCAAAGAGGTAAGCTGCATACTATATCTTTTTTAATTTGACAAACATCTCGCTCAACACTATAATGTACTTCTCAAGCAACTTGATTTTCACTAGTAAGTTGTCAATATAGCTCTCGATGTTCCTCCCTTTCTGATCCTTGAAAGCTTGATACATCTGTTGTCGGTAGTTGGCTCCCATATTTTTCTGATTGAAATGCTTTATCATGTAACAAAAGAATTCCTCCCTAGTGATAAGGTTGCCTTCTCATAGCCAACAAGGTTCATTTTGATCTAGTTAGCTAGAGAAAGCATCAAGGAAGCTAATGCCCATGAATCCAACTATCGAGTTGATTATCTTGTTGACCCTTCGAAGTAGCTAGCTATCTTTGGGGCAAGTAAAATTTAAATTAGCAAATTTTACACATAAAATCTATTTTTAACCACCTTTTGTACCATCACCAACTTGAGATCCAGTCAGGTAATTATATAGATTTTATGGATTTGAGATGAAGAAGTTTTTGGACCACTTGTTTTATAGGTTCAACTAAGATTATGGTGGTCTTCCTTATTCACTTTTTAATTGGTCTTATTTCCCTATTAGCATTTAACCTATGACATACAACTTCAATATTTATTTTTAACATCTCAGTATAGTCCAAGAAAACACATTAATGTTATCTTTGATTACTTGAACAAGTTCATCATGATGTTTGGCGCTAAAAAAACATGCTTTTTTTAGGGTTCTATTAGGGATCCCTTTGCTATCAGGACCTTTTCAATTACTTGAATAGTTTTTAACTATGTTCCTCTCTCTACTTCAAGATGTATGACCTCTTTCATTGAGTTCAACACCTCACCATCCCCTCGGGCTTTAGATAACATGAATTTGACTAGATTAAGTTGGCCCTTATAGTGACATATTGGTTTCCATTGAGAACATAATCACCTTATAGTAGGTTAATATATGATTACTTTGAAAGTATTTGACAATGGTCAACCAAAAAAGACATTATAGGTGGTGAAAGTGTCTGCCATGAAGAAGTTTACCATCATCATATATTGGCACTTAACTTTGCCCTGAGTAATAGGGAGTGAATCATCCCCTTAATCTCCCTTAGGTCTCTTGACAAAGTGTATAGTGATTTGCAGTGGGGTGAGTTGGGAAGCAAGTAAATTTATTTTTTCAAATATAATTTAAAGGTTATATTGATAGAAATCCTTGTGTTTATCAGGTTGCTACTGAAATGGTAGTTAAGAATCTATGTAGTAACCTACACAACATTGCTGACATGAAATCCTTAGTTAGAATAATTAATAATTATTTCAGGAGTCATTATAAGTCCAAATCATAAACCGTCTTTGCCAAAATATTTATGGTGTAGTGCTTTAATTATCCTAATTTTTTCATAATTTTTTTGGCACTAGTGAAATTCTTTAATAAATCGACACCTATCAGTACAAGTGCGATTTTTGGGACTATCAGGTGTCTGTTTTGCAAATCGATTTATTAAATTTTTTTAAAATAAAGTTAGCTACTTTATGAATATTTTTTATAATTTTTTGGATTTTTTAATTTAAATATATAAAAGAATTTAGATGAAACTTAATATTTTATTATTTAATAATTAAAATAATTATTTATATTTTAATACAAATAATATCTAAATCCACTCTAGGTCTATTAAATGATTATTTTCCATTTCCTAAGCTAAATCATTTAACAAAGAGTTGCTTAGGAGATTAGGGAAGAAAGAGAGTAGAGAAAAAAGAAAACTTGATTTTAGGCAACTTCGAGCTATTTTCATATGTTGACCCAGTTGAAAAACTTATTTGTCTTGAGGTAAGTCACATTATGCCCCTCTTAGTTTTAAAAAATACATAATTTTTAGTGAATTTTCCCAATAAAATATTATTTCAATTAGCAAAAAAACATGAATAACTTTGCACTGATAAAACTTTCACAGCGCAACTTTTTATATATTATAGATATTATAATTATGTATATTTTGAATATTTTTTGAAAATTTTACAATTAAAGTTTTAAAATTTTTGAAGTTTTTATTAAATAAAAAATTATCTATATATTAAAAAATTATGGTGTAGTATAATAAAAATCTTAAAATATTATTTTACACAATCCCTGAAAATTTTGATAATTTTCTAAAAATATTTCTTTTTGCCTAGTAGGATTTTCTAGTTTTCAGGATTTCTGAAGGGGAAAAGGTAATGATGGATTTTGTTATAGGTTTTCCTAAATCGAGGGAGGGGCATGATGCTATTTGGGTTGTTATTGGTCGACTAACAAAATTTGCTCATTTCATTTTGATTTGATATACATATCTGGTGGGCATATATATTAGCATAAATTTATGTTAAAAATATTATCAGGTTATACAATGTGCTGATGGTGATTGTATCTGATCAGGATGATATGTTTATCTTTAAATTATAGATAGGTATTCAATAGAGACTGGGTACAAAGTTGCACTTTTGTACATCTTTTCATTTGTAAATAGATGAACAGTCTAAAAAGACTATTTAGGTATTGGAGGATGTTCATAGACTATGTGTTTTAGATTTTAGGGTAATTGGGAGGATTATATCTTGTTGATAGATTTGGTATATAATAATATTTATCAGTCCAGCATAGGTATGTCTCCTTATGAAGCTTTTTATATTAGAAAATATAGGACTCCTTTGACTTTGATAAAGGTGGGAGATAGATTGGCGATAGGTTCAACATTTATGGATTATGCCATAACAAAGATCCTTCTAATTCGAGAAAGATTGAAATCTACAAAAGATAGACATAATAAGTACTACAATCAGAAATATAAGTTGGTTGAGTTCCAGATTGGTAACCTGGTCTATGTCAAAGTCAGCCCTATGAAAGATGTCATTATATTTATGAGAATTAGCAAGCAATCCAAGGTATCTTATACTTTTTGAGATTATTGAGCAGATTAGTGGTTCTGCGTATAGGTTATTGTTACATGATCATATGTTCGATATACATAGTATGTTTCATATATCTTCTTTAAAAAAGTGTGTATCTAATTTTGGGAAGAGATTGTCTATTTATGATGTTGAGGTTCGTCCAAATCTATAGAGAAGACCCCGAAAGAATTTTGATATATAATGTGATAAAGTTGAGAAGCAAATAAATTTAGGTTACTTGAAAGGCTAATTGGGAGAAGGAATCTGATTTCTAATTTAGGAATGTTGAGGATGACATTTTTCTTAAGGTGGGTAGAATGTAAAACCCTTACCTAAAAAAATTAATAATTATTTAGGAGTCATTATAAGTCTAAATCATAAGCTATCTTTGCCAAAATATTTATGATGTAGTGCTTTAATTACTCTAATTTTTTTATGATTTTTGGGAACTTGTGAAATTCTTAAGAAATCAGCATTATCGGTACAAGTGGGGCTTTTAGGACTGTTAGGTGTTTGTTTTACAAACTGATTTCACCACTATTTTTTTAAATAAAATTAGTTACTTTAAGAATATTTTTCTATAATTTTTGGATTTTTAGATATGAATATATAAAAGAATTTAGATGAAACTAATATATTTATTATTAAATAATTAAAATGATTATATAATATTTTAATACAAATAATATCTAAATCCATTATATATCTATCAAATGATTATTTTCCATTGTTTAAGCTAAATCGTTTAACAAAGAGTTGCTTAGAGATTAGGGAAGAAAGAGAGGAGATAGAAATGAGAAAATCTAGTTTTGGGTAACTTCGTGCCGTTTTTGTTTGTC